CCTCTCAATAAAAAATGATAGAGACACACTCTAAGTCACACCACCAATCACACTCCCTTTTTCTTTACAGTACAGGGGGCCTCACATGTGATTTTTTTTTTTTAAAAAAATCACATGTGGGGCCCTTGCACTGTAGAGAAAAAAAATCACATGTGAGACCCCCTACACTGTAGAGAGAGAGGAAGTGTGGTTGGTGGTGTGCTTGTAGCGCCTCTCCTTCTCAATTACCAAAGTTTTGGATAATAATCTACATAAGTGCTTATTTACCGGTCAAAATGGTTTTGGATACGGATGGGCTCGGATTCGACCCGAGTGCTCGTATATGGATTGCCTCAAGGAACGAGGTCTTTTTTCCCCTTAAGTATGGGGCCCTTTTTTATTTAGCGGGCACGCAGATATACTATTTTTTTTATCTTCAATTTCTTTTTTTAGTGTAAAATTATGAAGTGACTTTTGTAACAATATAAATTTGTAGATTTAATAATTAATAAATCTTTACATTAATAAATAAAGTTGTGTATAAAGAATTACACGAGTAATTTTTTACATCTTGGGTAATTATTACAATTTAATCATAATTTAGTTAAATACTTATAACAAATTAAATAATTATTTAATACTATAATATATAATATAATATTTTTATTTGTAATTTAGAATAAGTATAATAATTTATATGCTATTTATAATTGCTCTTATTTCTAATATTTATATATAGTATACTTATAGTACTATTTTTACATAAGATTTAAATGATGGTCATGGAGCTTAAGTGTAGCATTGACTAGCCAATTTTAACAGTAGTTTGAGCCAAATAATATGCTGCACTTATTGGCCTTATGACTTACATCGCCAAAAAGGTTCATGTGCCCAATGCATGACAAATGGTATCAGAGCAGTTAACCAGCCGAAAGTGTGAAACTAAGTGCTATGCGGAGCCAAGTGTTAGCTTGCATGTCATGATGTGCCCTAAGTTAGGAGTTATAGAAGGTTTAATTAATGAGTCATGAGGTACTAGTATAGCATTGACTAGCCAATTTTAATAGTGCTTTGAGCTAAATAGCGTGCTGGACTCAGTGGATCCCATGACTTATATTGCTCTAACAACTCGTAGGCCCAGAGTTTGACAAGATCAATTACATCTCTGACGAAAAGTAACTCCCCCGTCATGTTTCTATTAGTAGAATTGCACAAATTATTAGTGGGATAAGAGCTCATATGATAAAAACAAAACTCACAAATATAAATGAGAATTATTTTTTATGAGAGAGGTACAAATCTAAATACATTACGTGATAAGGACATGATACAATTTTAATAAAACATTGTAAAAGAATCTGGACGGAGGTATCATACTAAAATGAGCTTAGAACTTTGTATTAAATAAAAAAAAATTCCGAGGTATCAAAATTGAAAAAAAAGGGGGTAAACATGGAGGTAGCAAAGTTAAAATAACCCTTTCATAAATAAAGAACATCATAGTAGCTCGACAAGGATTTGCTTTTGTCATTTCTAGCTAAAAAGAAACAAACTCCTAAATTCGAACAAGAGCTAGTAAGAAAAGAAGGATTATATATAACTTTTCTATGTTAGAGCTAGATGAGAAAGTTTCATGTGAAAGTGGTGGTGCAAATAATATTCTGTTGGTTAAAGATGAGAAAAATCCATGTGAAATTGTTGTTGCAATAATACCCTTGTTGGCTAAAGTTGGACTGTAAAAAAAATGGCTCAGTTCTTAATGCAACATTTATACATCACCAGGTTGACCTCCTTTTCTCCCTTTGACTTTTACTACCAAGTATTATTATATGCTTAATTAGTAGAGTATAGTATATGTTAAATATTATAAAACTGTAGTTGCTTCAAAGTGCTAAATAGTTGATTGAAAATGTAAGCGAGCACTCGAGCCCGTTAGAAAACTGGATGGATCTTAAACAGGCCGCGAGAGTCCGTTTAAAAATTACAAAAAAAGATTTTATTTTTATTATTCTTTTTATTACGGAACCATACTCTCATATATATCATAGAACACAACGCACATTTTTATTTGGAGGAAATATTTAGTGCGCGGCTTCTTTGCTCACCATTATAGCAGTGACACTTGAGGACAGTTTTTTTCTGCAGGCTAAGGGAAAAGAATGAGGCCTCAATTTATATGCATTTCTACGATAATTCATTGTGCAAATTGATGCATAAATTGGTTGTTAATACGTATAAAAGTATTTCAGGGTGTTTCATCTATAATTGTGAATTTGGTAAAAAAAGCTTCAAGCATAGAAACCAGACAAAATACGCAGAACAAATTCCTTACATAAAAGTATACTAGCAAAGCACGGGCTAGAATTGCTGTTTATCTATTTTTATTTGCACTTTGTCATGCGTATATACTTATTTAATTAAGAGTAGGTACTTATTTATAAAAAAAAAGGAAAATATCATAGTTGCATCTCCTAATTATATCCGACCCTAAGTCATATTACACCAAAAGATACAACAGATACTTAAAAATATTTTACTGGAAGTTCTATTAAACCGAAAAAAAAGAAGAGAATATATTCTCCTAATATCCCAAGTAATACCTACGGATTCATTCCCAAGTAATACCTACGGATTCCTTAAATATCATTGATCATTGCTGAAAAATATGTATTGAAAAGAAATCATAAGAAACAAATAATGCAATTTCAAAGAAGCTAGTATTTTTTTCCAAAGACTAAGCATTATATTTACATCAGTGGAGCAGTAAAATAATAATAATAATAATAATAATAATAATAATAATAATAAGTGTAGAAAAATTCTGAGACTACACCATTGGCCATTATATTTCATAATTCAAGCTCTTCATTTAGCAAATAAGCACTCTCAATCCAGAACATTAACGTAACAAAGTTGCTTATATATAATGGCATATTATATTCCTGTAAAGTTGAAGTACAACAAAATTTACACATCAGACACTAAGAAAAAAAAAACACATTGTTGTGCTCAAATACCAATTGTTGTGGAAAATCGTGTCGAGGAACCAAACCAAACGCCGATCAAAGAGGGCCAAAACCAACTAAAATCAATGCACAAACAAAGCACCAATTTTAACGTGGTTCGGCAATTGCCTACGTCCACGGGGCAAGAAGGGGATAGAGTTTTAACTAATAGAGAAGAATAGTACAACAAACCTCTTAATCTCTCGAAGGAACAAACTAATCTCACCAACAAACCTCTTAATCTCTCAAAATAAATCCTAATCAAATAGCTCAGAAAATACCTCTTTTCTGTGCTCCAAATATCTCAAACTCTTGCCTTAAGAAACCCTAGAATGTGTATTAGTATTTATACAAACACCAAAACCAAATAAGAACAGGAAACCAAACTGGGCCTGACCCGATACACGGTCGACCACCACGGTCGACCGCGCCCAACGACAGAGCCTGTAAATGCGTTACAGGGTCTGGCGATCGACCACGACAAACGACAGAGCCCAAAAATCTCCTACAGGGTCACGAGGTCGATCGCGGCGGTCGACCGCGGCAAGTCCAGGCTCATGCCTGAGCCTGTGCACGTTCGCGGTCGACCGGCCTTACGCCGCAGTCGACCGTGCAGCTTCAAAACAGTTCCCTGTGGTCTTCCAACACCTGTTCTTCACCAAACTTCTCGCGGTTTCTTCACACATGTTATGGCTAATTCTCCCACATTGACATTCTAAAGTTTTGTGTGAAGATGACTGGTAAGTTTATACACATAACTTACAAAAGTATAGGTTGGTAAAAAAATTAGAATGTAAAAGTGCTGACTGTGATGGACTGTGCATGGTTTTTGACGCCCGAGCGTGCCAGATTCTCATTTCTTTTCGAAGTCAACTTATGACCTGATATAGAATACAAAGTTGATACATAAATACATTGTGCAAATTGATACATAAATTGTTTGTTAATACGTGTAAAAGTGCCTCAGGGTGTTTCATCTGTGATTGTGAATTTGGTAATAAAAAAAAAGCTTCAAGCATAGAAATCAGACAAAATATGCAGAACAGATTTCTTACATAAAAGTAAATACAAGAACAACAAGAGGTATAAGAATCTAAAAGTTGATTTCCTGATAAAAATTCTATCTTTTTTCAGGGGAGAAGAAGACATTTGTTAAAAGACTGCGCTACCATCTCTTACACAGAATTTGACAAAGAAACATGCTCAAGACCATGCGCTAGGGCTTCAATCCTTCTCATTTTATTCACCTTCACAATTTCATGTTATTTAAAACACAAATTACCAGTAGAATAGCAGATATCAGCTAACATGATTAAGTATTAACCAATGTTTTCAAAGGCGCGCACCTCACCGCGCTTCATCCACCCTATAATGTGGGACAGTGGCGAAGCGCCCCGCATCTGATGCAACAACGCCATTGACGCCTTGCAAGCATTCTGACTTGGCATAGGGGGTATGGAGTACGTAAGCTCGTATATTTTTTATCGTTAACATTTCATTATACTCGATAAATCATTTCCCAATAAACAAAATAAATCTAGTAAACCTTTTTGGTAGCCTTCAATTGAAGACCCTAACTAATCCTCGTTTACTATTTGATTTTGCTTGTATATTAATCTTGATTTGAAAAAGTATGAACTTTACTGTTACGTTGGATGTGTTGGCATCAGATACTAAGACCTTATATCATAATTTGGTAGTAAGTTATTACATTTTTTATGTGAACTCCTAAGCATGTTCCTTCGTGGTTGATTATCTTTCGTGCTTGATTATATGTGCGGTGTGCATCTCACATCACTAGGGTGTGCGCATCATGTTGCACCTTGCGCAAGTGCACGTAATGATACTTTGCGCTTTGTATTGCGTCTCGCGCATTGACAACACTGATATTAACATGGATATAAAAACAAGAGGAAGTTTATCAATTTGAAACAGAAGCAACCATATAAGATCCTTCTACTAATACACAGAAGTTCCTCATATTCTCTCAAGCATTAATATTAAGCAAGGCTTAGAGATAAACTTACCTGTTATATAACCATTTGAAAATTAGTAATCCTTACAAATAAACTTCCTTTTTACCTCAATTTAATCCTGCCAGACAAAGCAATAAGACGATTGAAATGATTTGAACACAAATGCCACATTGTTACAACTTACAATCATAAACAAATCCTATCAAATTCTGCACAAAAAAATCACAACTCCAAAATCAGATCAATGAAAAAACCAATGTTTCCTCCCTCTCACGGTGTTTGCACACTAGATTCTTTATATTTCTCTTCTGAAGACGGCCTCGTCTCCGAATCAGACGATCTCACCTCCTCAATCATCCTAATTACCTCCTGTATTTTAGGCCTTTGATCAGGAGATTTAGCAACACAAGCCATTGCAATCTGCAACATTTGCACCATTTCATCTTCAATATTCTGATTTTTCATCAAATCCACATCAAAAACCTCAGCAGTCCACTCCTCTCGAACAACAGACTGAACCCATCTCGGTAAATCCACAACATCATCGCGTCCTGGAGATTGTAGCGGCGCTTTACCCGTTAACATTTCAAGAAGTAGAACGCCGAAACTGTAAATATCGGATTTTTGGGTGAATTTACGGGTTTCGATTGTTTCTGGAGCTCGATAGCCGACAACAACCCTTGAGGGAGTGGCTGGAGAGCTCATCATGGAAGCAAGGCCGAAATCTGAGACGCAAGCTTCGAGATCTTGAGTTAGGAGAACGTTGTTGGATTTGATGTTGCCATGGGCGAGTTTTCCGCTGCCTTCAGAGTGAATGTGCTCTAAGCCACGGGCTGCTGCTAGTGAGATTTTTACTCTGGTTTCCCAATTTAACGGGGTTTTTTCTGCTACACGACTTCCTGTTCATCACATTTGAAGGCAAGCAATGAATAAAATTTTTCAGGAAAGTAAGCATGTGCATGTAACATCCTAACTCATAATTGCATGCTCAATTGATATTTCTGCTACTTTCAGACTGCGACAGATTATTGTTTACAACTTAACATTGCTAATCCGTACAGGCCATATTTGCTTCGTCACAGTTTATAACCTACAACTTTATTTTTAGGGCCGAAGAACATAAACACTGAGGCCTGTTTCTAGGGTTAACAAACTCCTTTAGTAATAAACATGAGCATTTCGCTATAAAGGTTCATAAAGAGGGACCATATAGACTCCATTTACCATCGGTAAGTTAGATCTCGTGGAAACGGTATAGCATCAGATTGCAATAATGCACATATAATTCATCAATATTTCTAACACAAAATTATTTTCAGACATTAAATTTTGGCTGTGATTATCAGAAATTAAAGAATTAGTTCTGATAAATTCAACATATATAACCTTAAAAAACATTGCTGAACTCTGTTATATTTAAGCCTTTAAGGCATAAAAAATGGACCTTCCACGAAATAAAATCCAGCCATAAATTTCTAATCGCTTCCGTGCATGGGTTACATATCTTGATATTGTATTTCTAAAAGTAGGCGGTTTCCCAAGTACAAGTTGGCAGCACGTAGGAAGAACTAATATCTTGCTATGCAGAAGCAAACTATCCTCACTCCCAAGTGCTGCATAATACAGAAGAATAAAACATATCCTAGTTAACAAATCCTTCCGACTTGATGTCTCCAAATTGATTGGTGACTGTAAGGGTCTCAAGGCAAAGTTGAGATGTGACTTAACTCTACCAATAATAAAAATTTCAGATATTTTTACAGAAGATCTTTTAGCAATAGTAACATTAGTCATATGGGACAGCCGTTATAGTTCAACTTAAGATCACCTCCCAATTCAGCAATTTCAGTAATAACTTGTGAGGGTACATAACCTAACAGCAATACCAAGAAAAAAGACAAATAGACTCTGCTGGTGTGGCGACTTTGTGGCTAAAACTTATAGCCGTTCGGTGGCTTAATTGATCCAAAAGAGTTTAAGTATACACTTGGAGCAAAATCAGCTCCCACATCGTTCCAATACTCACATTTGAGGCTTTATTGAGGAATATTCACCGTGTCAGTTTACCATAAATTGTGATAGTTATACATAAATGGATAGGCAAGTCCTATGGCATAACAAGCAGTTAACTTATTCATGTATGACAGAAAACACAAACAACATCAACAAGAGAAGAGGATTTTGATAAGCATACCATGAAGGAGGGTTGAGAAATTGCCAGTAGGCATGTAATCATAAACAAGAAGCTTCTCATCCTTCGAGTAATAATAAGCACGAAGAGGCACAACATTCGGATGTTGCCCAACCCTTCCTATTATCTCCATCTGTTGCTCAAATTCCTTCTTTCCTACCACCACTTCTTTCAATCTCTTTACAACCACTGTGGTTCCATCTTCAAGAACCGCCTTATATGTCGTTCCATAACTCCCTTTTCCAAGTACTTCAGCCGAAGCTCTCAATAAATCTTCCAAGTCAAAATTATAAGAACAGCCCTCGAAGAAAACGAGCTTGTTCCTCTCGGCTTCTTGTACTCCGCTGCTATACTCCTCTTTAGGTTGCTTTTCACTCCTTCCACCAGCAACAGCCTTCCCTTTTGATTCTCTTCCACTTGTCGTCTCTCTCCTTCTCTTCAAGAGGCATACCAAGAGAACTATTGCAAGAACGACTAGTAGAGCCAATATTCCGGCAGCAATTGCAATTATGGCTCTTAAGCTTAATCTCTTCCAAAAGTTTTTCTTATGTTTTGGGGGGAGAGCAGGGGGAGGAGATAATGGTGGAGATGGAGGAGGAATTCCAAAGCATTGTGCCAGAGGAGGTCCACAGAGGAGAGGATTTCCCAAAAATGACTCTTTTGGAAAGTTCCGAAGAGAAGGTGGTATGGAGCCACTAAGGTTGTTATAACTCAAGTTCAAACGTCTGAGTCTTGGGGCTTTAAGATCAGGAATCGAACCAGACAAGGAGTTGTTTTGAAGATACAATGCAGTTAGTTCAGTGAGATTTTGAATTGATAGAGGAATTTTTCCACTGAAGGAGTTAAATGAGAGGTCTAAGAACGTGATGCTAGAAGAAAGTGATGATGGTATTTCTCCAGACAAGTTATTGTGTTGAAGGAAAAGAGAAAGCAAAGAAGGGATTGAAGGGATATCAGAAGGGAGATTTACAGTAAGGCGGTTAGATCGAAGGCTAAGGACCTGAAGAGCATCAAGCTTCCCAATTGTGTTTAAAGGGATTGGGCCAAGGAGACCAATACCCGGTAGCCGGAGGGTAACAACACGGGTTTTCCCCGAGTTACATGAGATTCCGACCCAGGAAGAGCAAATTGGATTGCTCAAATTCCAGTTAAGTTCCCGTTCATGAGGGATTTGAGCAGCAAAGGTAAGAAGAGCTTGCTGGTCAGAATTTAGATCAGCAAGCGCAGGAGCAGAGATAGATAATAAGTGGACAAGAAAAGGAACTAAAACAAAGAGCTTGGAGGGATTCATGGCTAGCTTACAGGAAGAGGCCTATAGATACTGAAGAGAAGCTCCCAGTGTGATGTCACCATTGATTCTTCTCCTGTTGCAATAGTAAGTAGAACAACGATGAGTAGCCGCTCTAAGCCTCAATAACAAGCTGACTTTAAAGTCACACGCTGTGCTTTTACATAAACATGATAGGATGAGAGAAAGAGGAGTCTGGCAAAGCAAAAGGAAAAGCAAAAAAAAAAAAAGGTAACAGGACCCATATTGCTGCTTTTCTAGTGGAAAAAAAATTCCTAACACTGTGGCAAAGAAACATGGGATCTACAGAGAAGGAAACATTTTTCACTAGTAAAGAAACAAATCATTATACATCATCATGAGCTACTTCCCCCAAACTTTTTTCCTTGTTGGTTCAACAAAATGTCAAAAGCAAAACCTTCAATGAGAACTTGAGGAGCAAGAAGCACTTGCTTGCCAAAAGGACATTTGGGAAAGACAAAAAAAGCAGTACTTCTTGATAATCGCCAGGGACCATTCTAAGGCCATTATTATCGCACTAGAAATAAATTCAGAACAATAATTATTTGGAAAAAATAAAATAAACTAAGCAAGTACTTGGCGAAGAGAAATTTGGGTAGCAAAAAATGCTCCACTTCTGATAACTGCTACATCATTAGATAACTCAGTATTCTCTTTGACACAAATTTTGCTTATTTGCACTCACCTAACAAGTAGGTAGGTTAGCTACCCTAATCTTACCAAGTGCAGTTGCCTAACCCTGAAATGATACTATTATTTTCCTTAATGAATACAAAGTTGTGCACAACCAAAAAGGTTTAAGCATTAAAAAGAAAGCAAAAGGAATCACTGAACTTTCCTCAATAGGCAAGGGCCCAAGAAATCCTTGCCATTTTTCTAATGTCATGAACAAGCATTGTATAAATATAAAATTGATTACTCACACAAAAAACAGCAAGATTTCCTTAAATGGGTTAAAGAAAAGGCAAGATTAGGAGTGCTTAACAGTACTTAACTAATAAACTAGTCACCTCGGAAAGCCTGAACAGCTGAAAAGAAAAGCAAAACCACCACAAAAACTTTGCAAAAAGGAGTACATATCATCAAAATCCTCTTACCATTTCTCAAACTACTAATTATTTATATTCTAGAGTCTTAGTACAGTGATTAACAAAAGGAATAGTACTAAATCCCCAGAAACAAAAGAGCAAGAACAAAGCAAAAGCAAAAGGACATAAACATCTTTTCCCAAAAAGCCATGGAGCAGAACAAAAGGTCTACTTGCTTAACTAAAGAAATGGATTATGAGTCTGTGGTAACATGCGCCAGCGTGGCCCACGTTAGACCCAGCCCCTTAAAAACACATCAATTTAACCCACTAGCAGTATTAAATTACAAACAACAGAATAAATCAAGGGGGTTTTTTTTGGGTATATGAAGCCAAATTTTTTACCCTGATTCAATTTTAAAGCTCACTTCCAAAATCATTCCAAAAACCCAAACTAGCATACGGAATTATTTTTAAACCCAATTTAACCCACCACCAGTACTAAATTACAATCAACAGAATAAATCAAGGATTTTTTGGACCCGCCCGCTTCCGAAATCATTCTAAAAACCCAAAATAGGATACTGAATTATCTTTAAACCCAATTTTTGCGCGCCCTCAGTGAATATTTTGCTATAGTTTTTTCTAAGTTTCTACGTTTACGTTTAAATTTCTATTTTTTTGGCTAAATTGATGAAAACTGGGAACGCAATTCAAGTATGGCATTTTGGGTTTAAAATGTTTTTACATGTGCATGCATTTAAGACCAAATCAGGGCAAAACTTTGGGCTCATAAACAAAAAACCCATAAATCAAATACCTGATTCGAAGAAAAATTGGCCCCAAATTCTCCATTCCAGCTCTCAAACTTGTCAAAACTCTGCAAATTTCGGAGATTTTAGATTAATACTAAGAATGAAGGAGCAACATTGTGAAAATGAGAAAAATAAACAAAACCCATGAAGCATAAAAACAAACAAACATTGGACATTTTGAGCTTGGAGAGTATCGGATCTGAGCTTTGGTTTCCTCAGCTTGAGAGAGAGAGAGGGGGAGAGAAGTGAGATTTAAGAAGCGGACACCTAAAAAAGAGGCCCTTGAACAAATAGTAAATTACTATTTGGACCTTGTAATTATAGGTTACGGTTACAGGTCGAGTCACGCGCGCGATGTTATGGTAAGGGAGAACGTCGAAAAAGAACCCTGACCGTTGGATTGATTAGATCAGGTATTCGGGTGGGGCCAATGTGACGTGTAATTTTCGAGCGGGGCCGTGCGATGGGGGAAAAAAGTGTGAAAATTTAAAAATAGACTCATTCACAATTTCATCCCCTAAAATCGATCCATTTTAAATTTATTTACAAAAAACTATCCAGTTTCGATCACATCAGCAACGCAGGATAAAGGATGAGAGAAATTTGTTCTAAAAATTAATACAAAATCAAACCAAATCAAAATTAAGTCAAACCAGCTCAAATCTTCTCCTTTGTGAGCTTATAAATGAGAAGCAAGATTTCGGCGGCATGACTGGTCTCAGTGGCGAGGAAGAGATTGTTGTAGTTTCCGACGACGGATCGAATGAAGACGAGAGCGACGATTCTGACGGCGACGCTGAGGAACGCCTTCACCTTCGCCGGTTGCCGGCGGAACCATCCCGACATTAGACTGAGCGGCCTCTTCGAACCCCTCATTATTGATTTTGAGAAGGAAATTTGAATCAAAATTCAGAATTTAGAGAATTTTTTTGGGGAAAATGGGTTATTTTTTGTGAGGACTTTCTTCACATTAGGGTTTTAAACATTTTTTTATGGATTTACTGGACGCTTGAGTGAAAACTAGGGTTTCAAATTTGGATTCTCGAGATGACGAATGTTTGAGGAGTTTTGAGCGTGAGAAGAGAGAAGAGAGAAGAGAGATAGGGCAGACAAGGGCATTTTAGGGTTTAGATAAATAGTTTCTCTCTGTGCTGTTTTGGAAAGATAAAGAGGGGATGAAACATAATTATTTAATGCATTGGGGGCTTTGTCACATAAAAAATAATACTCGGAGCATGGTCACAAACACTTTATTTTTTGAGGGCATTGACATATTTTTCCCAATTTTAAAAATAGACTCATTCACAATTTTATCCTCCAAAATCGACCCATTTTAAATTTATTTACAAAAATCTACATGGTTTCGATCACATCCGCAGCGCATGTTAAAACTACTGGGTCGGTTAAAAAAACTTTTTTTTAATTAGTCGGGGTGCCAGCCCCGACTAATTAGACGTTAGTTTAATTAGACCAGGTAGTAGTGAGAGCTAAAACTACAGTTCAAAATACTCACGGTTATCAAACTCGACTATTTAGAAGGTTAATTAACCATGTTACTAATTAGCTAGGGTTAGCAACCCCGACTAATTAGAAAGAAATCTTTCGACCTAGTTAAAACTGAGTCGACTTTTGTGAATATATTTGAAATGAGTCAATTTTCGTGAATAAAGTTATATATGTGTTTGTTTTGAAAATTTCTCCCGGGGAAAAGATACACCAAAAGATAATTACCATCACGAATTTTGATCTGCATATTGTCCTATATGGCTATATGTACAGTCAAAATATATATCATTGTTATTGCTATTAATGCGCATATAGGTAGTCTGATTGTATTAATAGCTAATAGCGAAGTGAAAAAACTAATTGACCAAAAATACATGGACAAATCTTGACACACGTATCTTTGTTAGTTATTAGTATGGTCAAACTATCTAACTATTCAATTGTTAGGAGTAGCGCACTCACAACTGATGGACAATTTAGTTGTGCTGATAGCTAATAGTGATATGGAAAAAAAAAATGCTGATCAGAACACACAATCTAACACAAATGATACATATAGTCACATATAATTGTTAGCTATCAGTATAATCAGACTATCTGCTAATGCAGTTGGTTACACCACACTCTACATTGATAGACAATCTCACCGTTGTGATATCTAATAGTGATATATGCATTAAAATTCATTAATTACATGTGAAGCCCTATTCCTTCGCGCTATACCTTTTACACCCCACGCCCACCCCCTCCCCCCCGCCCAGCACACACGATGAGGCACTTGGATTCATTGCTCAAATGGGTCCCTCTCTCCCCAACCACAACACACGATGAGGCATTTGTATTCATTGCTCAAATGGGTCCCTCTCTCGATGCGGGTATTAATATGAGAAATACTTGGCGTACACGCACATCATCTACACATTTGCATAGGGACCCTAGCTTACTATGACTGAAATTTAAAACTGAATGGCACGCAAGATATATATGAGCATGTATTCATGTTGCTATCGTATATAAAAATGGGCATGTTACATGTATATACATGCACAGAGATTAATTTTTACCAAACATTTTCTTCGGCCCATTAATTGTCTGATCTACTGCGTTAATTACCTCATGGATTCCTTCTTTACCGAATTGGAAGGCAAAAGAAAAAAAAAAAAATAAATAAATAAATAAAGAAAGAAACATGAATAGATGCTCATATCTCACCACACTGTCTTTCAAAACACACTTCATTCAAGTTGTTCTTAGCCAAATTCAGGGGCCACTGAAAATCTCTAAACTGCTTACTTCTTTAGTGAATATAAAAAATATGAGAACATATCATACGGACGTTAGTCCATGGCAATAAATATGCATTCAAGAGATATCAGCTCTTGAATTAGTGCATGAATCGCAAAGTTCAATGATTCGAAGATTGACATTCTTTGAATGCATGTTTAAAGCCACGGACCGTCCACATCTGATACTACCTCCAAAAAAGAGTGCTTTCTTTGCATAAAAAAATGTAAGATCGACAAGAAGAGTCCAGTCAAACGTCATCAGCCAAGACTTTGCATGGATATGGAAAATGAATCTCAACCATGAGCTACAAAAAAAACTATATGGCTACGTCTGTTTGTCTTTTAATTGTTACCACATGAGCTGATCCATAACCCAATGTATTTCCTCAACTACTACATTAATTTTACTAAACACCAACCTACTCTCCAAAAATAATCGGCATCCATTTGGTGCTAGCTAGATTATGAACACCATGAGCCAAAGGAAAGGTGGTCTCTCTCTCTCTCTCTCTCTCTCTCTCTCTCTCTCATAGTTGACAGCTCAAATTGCCATCTTAGTCCAGTACTATTTACCTAATTCAAAATTTCAACACGTGAGGCTTGACAAATTAATGGGAAGATAGAGCAGAAGTACTTAGAAATTAGATAATTTGCACATGTATCCTGTTATAGAACGAGAAGCTTATATAGCAACTTTATTGGTTCAAAAAAAATTTATGAGCACTTAGATTCCTAAGAGCATCTCCAACAGTTTCTCTAAAATTTTTTCCAAAATGGGGAAGCAAAAGTCATATTCTTCAAATTATTTTTACACCAACTCTAACAGCTTCCCCATTTTGAAGAATTGTTTTTTTCCTCCAAAAATTTGGAGAATGCTGTAGATTGGGGAAGCTTCCCTATTTTTTCTCTTACATCCCTATTTTGGGGAATGAGATGGGGAATCTGTTGGACCAAAAACCTAACTATATTATCCAAAAGTAGGAAATGAGGAAGCTGTTGGAGATGTCCTAACCGAGTTATTTCCTTGTTATCTAGCTATAATCTAATACCTATTAGAGAATGGAGGTTCTCTCTGCTAGCATAGTGAAATATCGAAGATTTCTCTGTAACACACGACATTCACATATATGAGAATAAAGTGAGAGGATATAATTATATTACGAAATTTAAATACTAATAAAATAACATTGGAGTAATAATTGGTTAATTGTAATAGTACATTATGTACACATTTGTGATTTACCCTAGAAATAAACAATTTCATTGGATTTTAATAGTTATTGGTTGGCCAAATTACATGGGTCCATTTCTATCTTCCGCCATTGCATTAGGTAGAAAGTGGGGACAGAAATAACTTCCACCCATTAAAAGACAGCACATGGATCTCAAGTTCTCAACTTATTAGCTGTACATATTTAGATAGATCGTTGTTATTCACTTTGTTTGTTTACATCTATTTTAATTGCACTTAAATACCCTATAGTTTCCCCTACTTCACACTTACATGTCCTTGCTTGTTTTTCGCAGCACTTTTATACTCTAATTTTTTTTAAAACTTGCACTTATATATCCTCACTTTTTTGACAGCACTTAAATACCCTAAAGGTTTTTAAACTGACACTTAAATAGCAAAAAGTTTTCAAAGGTTGCACTTAAATACCCTCAAGTTTGCTTAACCGTAGGTATTTAATGGCAAATTTTAAAAAATTTATTGAAGAGATGAGCTCAGGATTCATGTTGTCAGGGTGGCGGTCGACCGGCCCGGTCGACCGCATTCGTGCACAAGGCTTCCTGTGCGTCTGGAAGGAGATCGGTCGACCGGTGCGGTCGACCGACGGTTCTCTGGAGTTTGGGTTTTCTACTGAGAGCTGGTCGGTCGACCGGGCCGGTCGACCGGAATTGATCGCGGTCGACCGGTCCGGCCGACCGACGCTGTTTTGGGTTGGGCTTTCAGGTTTTCGACCCGATTCGTTTTGGATTTGTATAAATACCCTTTGGGTGTTTTTTAGGGTTAAGAGCAAGGACGAATTTGAGCAGATTGAGAGAGTTTTCTTTGGGCTTCTATTCTAGGAGCAATTGGAGAGATTGAGAGTTGATTGTTGAGGGTTTATGAGAGATTTGTAACCCTAGTTTGTTCCTCTTGATTTCTAATAGTGAAAACTCCCCCCTCCTTGCCCCGTGGACGTAGGCATCTTGCCGAACCACGTAAAACTGGTGTTTGGTTGTTTGTGCTGTTGATTTTGGTTGGTTGTTTATCTTTCTTGGCGATTGTTTTGGTTTCTCGAGGCACAACAATTGGTATCAGAGCTCCGGGCTACGCTTGGGCTATTTTGGAGGAGTAGATCGCTTTGGAAGTTCATCTAGGGCTTCGTTTGGTGATAAAGGTGGGATCTTTTCAGTAAAAATCTCGTCTTTTTCAATTTGGATCTATTTCTCATTTGTTTCCGCATTGGTTTGGTGGTGCTTTGAGATATATG